ATTCGGTCAGCATTCAGGACTAGACAACATGAAACTGATTACTCTCCAATGATAAATCAATGCAAACTGTACATAAAAGACTTGTAAAACTTCTACAACCTGCTGTCTAATATGAGAAATAAGTCCCAGAAGAATAGTTATAATTAGTGGACATGTGCTTTATTTGTCAAAGCACTTGATTGCCAACCACTAGTTCACGGGTTGGAAACCAGCTCCACACTTACCGACGTTTGGGTAACCAGGTCGTATCATTAGCCCCTATACAATAGATGTGGCTAATTACCTACTGCATGAACGTCTACAAGGTTGCTGAGTGGATTTCAATTTTCGTTACAAATTATTATTACATGTTATCTAATCTTCACTGGTGACTGCATTCTGAAAAACACTGAAGATTGACTATGAACATTACAGTGCATTCATCCAATGTTGAATGATAGTTAAGAAGTCATATGCATTTACCCAAATCTTTTGACCGTTCTTCTATCACACTCTTACCCTATATACCTCACTTTGAAGCACAAACAAAAAGAATTCCTTAACCATTAATTCAACTCATTTCCTGTATCCTAAGTGAATTGATTCCACAAGTAATCCTTCAGATCTCCACAATATAACTTTTCTATTGTTGAATATTTATAATAATAATTATTATTATTATGGTTATTTGTCCCTTGGCTTCCTAGTGGGACACAGTAGCTTCAGTAGCACGTCTCCATTTCACTCTTTTCTCTGCAGTTCTTTTCAACCTGGCTCCAAGACGGCTCACAAGCTTTTATTTCTTCCTCACATAGTCTCCTCCATGTCACCCTCAACTAGGACGCCCAACTCGTCGTTCACCATCTGGATTCCACTCGAGGGCCTGGCCTGGCGCGTGATTTCCCCAATCGGCTTTCTCAGTATATGCCCAATCCATCTCCACTTCCACTTCCTTCTGCATATTTGTTGAACGATAGGTTCTTGGTTGGTTCGTTGCCCGGCCAGTGTTCCTTGTTGCTTATTCTTTCTGGCCATCTGATCTTCAGTAGCGAGCGTAGGCAGCTGTTAATGAATGTCTATCGCAACTAATGAATATAATTAGATAAATGAGTGGTCGCTGCACTTATGTACTTCGCTTCTTATAGTCAAACTATAGATGAGCATCAACGACTCCTCAAACCCGATGTTAATTCACTTCATCAGTTTATGCAGTTGGCATAAAAGCTTTATTTCTCATAGGCACATCAACAGCCTTATCTAAATACATGGGATCCAAAAATGCATTCAACAACGAATATTAGCATGCAGTACAAGAATATGATGACTATAAACAGTTATGGTAGATAGTATGCTGTATGCTAACGGTTACTGAACGGAGTCAACTAAGTTTTATGTAGATGACTTTGTTCTTTTGCAAAGTTAATGAAATTCATAAGACATACGTTTGTTTATTCAGCTAATAGTTCACTTTCACTATCATAGATCTTTTGTTTTTCTTATAAGGCAGAGCGTTCTCAAATGCTATGTAGTCACAAACTAACAATCAGTGATAGAGGTGAGTTGACCAAATTTTATGCCACAATTTACACACTTTCAACGACATTTATCAGACAACAAACTCTCCGAGAAGAAAAAGTCTTGTTTCCGTGTTTTTCAAGTTTAATAGTTACATGAAGGTTTGTAAAATATTATAAAATTTAGGATATTTAAAAAAACTTGAAGCTAAGTTTTTTTCAGTTATCATATTTTCTAGTTCACAACATTCAACAGTACATTTTTTTTAAAACAACACAGTTCGTAACCACCCATGAAGTCATCCGCTCAATGATTTTCCAACACATAGTCATTTTATACAATCAAATATCTAAATATCTGTCTGTTTGGCCTTTTCCTTTCTAAAGAAAAAAGAAAGCGTGTCTATGAGTGACAATGATTGTTTCAATTATGGTATGCGATTAGACATGTAGGTCCGCGGGACAAGAGAAACCAGTGGTTAGAGACTCTAAGTGATATGGCTCAGTACACACTTTCGGGACCCTAAATAGTACTGTCATTAAGCTGTATTTGGCTAAAATAACAATGTACATAAGTTTTAAAAATATTAACTCACTTGGATTGATGACACCAGCTCACCATCATGAGAATCGAGTATTTCTAACAATGAAAATCAACACAAAAAGTATTCTAATAAGCCAAGATATTTCACTCAAAATGGCGAAAAAAATGACACCAGATTAAACCAGGATCGAAAGTATTCCTCCAACACAATTCAATTTCTCCTAATATCGCACTTCGCCTTGGCATGAGCAGCATGTTTAAAGGCCACCTGAGTCGATAAAGTTTCACAACCGCTTGTACTGAATTCCCTAGCCGGCTTAGAACCATTCACCAAACCTCTTTATTATTCACATGCTGATTGTGACATACTTGAGCGATACTACGAAAAAACCTATAACCACATACTTTCAACCACTTAGTGCCAAAAAATGTTCTGGCATGTGTCCACAGCCTCTGTTAAAAAAGTTCTATTCACTTGGTAGGGGTGTTTCCAATAAGTGAAAGGGCTGAAGCGAATCTCTGACCCTTATCACCGTATTGGTGGATACTGAAGGTTCATATAGGGAATTTAGAAAACCCTGATTCCAAACCAATAGTGTGCATAGGCTACAGGTTCCAGATGGACTATGAATAGTATATGTACCTATTTTGGTCACCGGAAACCATGGGAATGCAACTCCTGATGTTGTTCTATTGCCTTATGGATTAGGATTAGACTCTAGGTCAACGGTTCAAAGATCAGCCCCCTAAGACAACCACCTATTTCAGTTTGAGCACCCATACATCATCCCAACCCTCACACAAAATATGAATTTATAGTATTAAATAAAGATTCCGAAGTTATTAATCGACTTTTCTACGAATACGCAAGCTCTTCACACTGCAAACGTGTAACCTACAACCAAAAGGTTAGCAAACCTAAATGGATTTCCGTGACTTCATTCGAACAGATTGATGCGTAAAGACTCCAGCAGGTTCTGTCGACAATGAAGAGAGGACGCGGCTGAAACTGTGACTGACTAAGTCTTCCAAACGACTGTCAGCAGTCGTGGGTGGCGAAAACGAGAGGGATGGAGAGAGCACCCACATTTGAAAGTACCCGGCAACTATATAGGCTTATTAAGGATATCGGCAAGAAGAGGACGATGCTTAGTGGAACCATCACCGAAAAGGATGGGACGATGATGACATTTCATGACAGGTGTGTAGAACGTTGGGCAACACAGTTCAAAGCATACTTCAACTAGGGCTCAGCTACGCTACAGTCACTCACCATTTAGCCTGAACCTGAATGACATGTATACGTCGTTTTATCAACTAGCCTAGAAGTTGAGAAGAGTGTATCGAAACGATTCAAAGTAGCAGGACCTGTCAGTTTGTCACTTGATATTTTCAAGAAAGAAGTCAGGAGATTGCTAATTAGACTGAAGGAGGGACTACGTAGTGTGTACGAATCAGAGGTACTGTTTTCAGACTGGTATACTTCACCGATCATCCAACTTTATTAGAAGGGGGAGAAATCTTATGATAACCATAGGGGAATTCGTTTAACTAGTATTGTTTCCAAGATCCAAGGATCAATAGTTACCCAACGCCATACTAGAGCTCTAGAAAACCAGGCAGGTTTCAAACTTGAATGAGGTTGGATTTTCGAATCCTCATTCTTTAACTGGTTTGGGAACACAGACATACTTACCGACGACCAACACTTGCCGTGTTTATTGGCCTGAAGGCGGCATTTGACTCTGTCGATAGTGACGTGTTGTGACAGTGTCTGACTGTGAACAGGGAGTATCGAACAAGTATATAACCCTTATCAAAGCTTACTTACTTCAATCCTACCTCCACCCAGTCAGCAGTATGACGTAGCGCTCAGACCGCCATCATGACGTAGCAATTTACACTACAACAGTAACTGGCTTTTCTCTAACCACCATTTAAAAGGCCTTTCTGGTATCGTAGGACCCAAGGGGACAAACGTTACACCCATTGCAGCTTGCTGGGTCATTGTGATATAAAAGCCAAACCAGCACACCAATGTAGCAGCTACCAGTCAGGAAATGTGACGAAACTGTGTTGTAACGATCCCCATGGATTACTCTTGTTCCGAAAAATTGTATTGTACATTAAGTCAAATGTTAGAAATCACCAACACAACTTGGTACAACTAATATTTTCATGGAGCATTTTCAGAAATTTATTAGATTTTAGAATTATTTCATGAAGTACATAACCATACATCATTATTTACTGGACGATGTTTGAAATAAATGTATCGCATATAAATACATCAAGATGGTCACATAACTTCCTGCAAGTAAATTATGCACGGAAAGTCATCTAGTTATTGACCTGGTATCAATGCACGGCACATAACAAACTAAAAATATGCAGAAATAAACATTGTGACAAAGGTCTCAGGTGCCACATAGTGAGTAACCTCGCCTGGTTAACTAGTTCACTAGTTACCAGCTGGTTCTAAGTCCGGATAAAGAGGGAAGGTTACGCATACGGCTAGCAACCCTACCCTGAAAAATCATTCTCAGTCAAACCGCTGAAGAAACTTCAAAGAACAAACAAAATACAAAGAATAAAAACAATATTATTCCTCGCTGGAGTCAGAGAGACGAAATGACGCTGGTTGGTGAAAGCCTTCGGGAAGCTAATTGGTTGATGTGTCTTCACCTCCTTCTCTCGATGAAAGCGAAAATAAGAATGGAGACATGGAATAACCGCACCATGTGCAAACCTAGAAAGGCTGCCCAGGTTGCAAAAGAAATGAGAAGGTATGGCACAGAATAGAAGTGCTAGGAATCTGCGGAAGCAGATGAATTGGAATGGAAGTGGACTCCTCAAACTGTCAACTGGAGAGTCAGTAATCCACTCCGATACTGTCACCCAAACGACAACCACGAGCAGTGCACACTGAGTTATGGAGTGGCTATCATGATGTCCCCAACAGCATTGAAGGCTCTCATACAGTGGGAACCAATCTTCTCCTTCACGATCAGGATCATGGTAGCAAGATTCAACTCAAAACGAAGGAAAGTCACAATAATACAATGCTACGCCACACCTACAAATAATGCAGATGAAGAGAAGAAGGAGAAATTCTACAGACAACTGGAATCGGTACTAGACAAGACTCCAGATGGCGACATGAATACCAAACTGGGAGTGGACAACGCAGGAAGAGAAGTAACCATGGGTCGAGAAGCACTCGGTGAAATGATGAACGAGAATGGAGAACTGTTTGCAGAATTCTGCGCGTTCAACGATTTGGTGATTGGAGGCGAAGCAGTGTATACAAACACAAGGATATTCACAAGGCAGTGACGTGGATTTGATTTCACCAGATGGACACACTAAAAATCAGGTCGACTTCATCTCAATGTGAAGAAAGTTGAGACGCAGACTACTGGACACAAGATCAGATCAAGAAGAGAGAGGAGCAGATGTAGTTTCACATCACTCACTATTTAGTGCAAGGAAGTCGGTGATTGACCACAGTTCAAGTTCAACACCCAGAACAGAGACTGAACTGAACTGAACTGAAGGACGAAACTACAAGGGACATCTTCACGTAAGCCATCAAGACAAGATGGGAGATATCGAACAACATCCGTGAAGAAACCTGTGTGGATGAACACTGGAACTCTTTGAAGGAGATGTGGCAAGGAACCTGCATAACCGTATTAACAAGGAAGAAGAAACAAGACAAGACAAGACAAGGAATGGATCTCGACGGACACGTGGAAGCTGATAGAGCAGGGAGAGGAAGATGGTGAAGCAGAAGATGAAGCAGTGCAAGGATGCACAACAAAAAGAAGAACTGAGTACAACGTACACTGAGCACAACACTACACTGGACAAAGAAGTGAAGAAGAGTGCACGCAAAGACAAAATACACTTCTACGACTCATTGGCTAGTGAAACAGAACAGACTGCTGGTAGTAGAGACAGAGACCTGACGACAGTATTTCAAATAACCAGGTTACTATCTAGGAGGGGAAGTGATCAACGCAGATGAAACCAATGAAAGATAGTGAATGAAACTTAGTTAGCACAGAGGAGAAAGAAATGAAACAATGGGCTGACCACTTCAAAAAAAACTCTTGAATCGACCACCACCACCACCACCACCTGCACTTCGTCCAGAAATACCACCAGCAGCCCAGCCACAGAACTATCAGTGAACACAGACAAAATCCGAAGTGTAGAGCTGAATGCCATAAAACTGCTGAAATCCGGGAAAGCAGGAGGACCAGAGGGAATTCCGCCAGAAGCACTGAAAACAGACGCAGAGACAACAGCAGCGGACAAGCTCACACTACATCACTACTGCAGAAGGTTTGCAAGGAAGGGATGACAGGTACCTGCAGATTGGAAGAAGGTGTACCTTGTGAAACTCACAAAGTAGGGCAACCGAAGTGTTTGCAAGAACTGGGGAGGAATCATGCTCCTTTCCCTGTCCACCCCAAGCAAAATATTAGGCCGCACCATCCTGCACAAACTCGAAGATTTACAGGCGAAAACTAACACGTTGGCAGATGAGGCAGGGCTTCCTTCTCTTGAACGTTGAGAAGATAAAGGTGATGAAGATACCCAACGAACAACAACAAGCACCAATCACCATTAACGGCAGAAACCTAAAGGAAGTTCTGTCTTTCACCTACCTACCTAGGTAGCATCGCTTAAACTACAGGCGGCGGCACAGGCACTGATGAAGATGTCAAGGCCAGCATCGGAAAGACAGCAAGACAGGCTTTTATTAATCTGAAATCAGTGTGGAGATCTATTGCACTCACCATAAAGCGTGAACACGATCCGGATTTTCAACACTAATTCAGTCAAGTCAGTGCTTCTCTATGGTTCAGAAACTTAACGCGTCACGGGAAAAAGCATTTTCAAACAATTACAGACATTCATCAACAACCGCCTACGCTCGCTACTGAAGATCAGATGGCCAGAAAGAATAAGCAACAAGGAACACTGGCCGGGCAACGAACCAACCAAGAACCTATCGTTCAACAAATATGCAGAAGGAAGTGGAAGTGGAGATGGATTGGGCATATACTGAGAAGGCCGATTGGGGAAATCACGCGCCAGGCCAGGCCCTCGAGTGGAATCCAGATGGTGAACGACGAGTTGGGCGTCCTAGTTGAGGGTGACATGGAGGAGACTATGTGAGGAAGAAATAAAAGCTTGTGAGCCGTCTTGGAGCCAGGTTGAAAAGAACTGCAGAGAAAAGAGTGAAATGGAGACGTGCTACTGAAGCTACTGTGTCCCACTAGGAAGCCAAGGGATAAATAATAATAACAATAAGAAAACAGAGAGTTCATTTTCATCGTACAAAATAATAATCATGATCCGAAACCCTCATCAACAAGTTAGGTGTCAGCCACAACTTGAGTTATCAGAAATCATTATCCCTAGAGCACTGCGAACATAACACTGCTCACTGACAGTACACAAAACTGAGCAAAATAAATGTAGGAATAAAACATTTAGGTTATAAAGATAAGTGACACTGAAATAATATCACCGACCGTATATTACACATCAAGGTTACATAATCATTGGTTATGCTTTTACCTAGCTAGTAAATCGTTCACTTGTGATATCTCTCCTAACACAACACTAGTCAACCCCTTGACATACAACCCAATCAATCATTTACACATTCAATAAACACACTTCGATTACACAATTAAGCATACGTCATCCAATCCGATAACACAATTAGTAGAATAAAGCATAAAATAATAACCATAACATAGTTCAGAATTCACCATCACTGGAAATCTGATAGTACTTCGCATGCCTCTATCAAAACCCACACGCAAACTTTTGAGCCACGACTAGTCTTCCCTACTCCCTTGTTCAACGATGGGAAGTAAAGTGGTTGAGCGGGTTGGAAATTTCACTTACCACCTCAGAAGTCAAATCAACCCCGGTGACTAGTCAGTCACCCACGAGATCTCTGCACCAATACAAATGCACCACTTGACTGAAGCTAACATCCCTCAAGCAGGGCACCACCGTGATACCCGATAGCCTATTAACCGACAAGTTCACTCTCCAACAGTTCCCTCTGCTTTACCATATGTCTGTGAAAAACTCTCATTAAAGTTGATGACTGTGAGTAGGCCTAAGGAATTCGAACACCGTTACCTTAGCAGCATAAGACATAAGTCATGGTGTCACCACATCAGCAACGTAGACGTCAGGTATGCAGTTCTGGGCACAAGGGAAAGGTCAGTTGATGAGGTTCTGAAACTCCATCCACTCAGGTGGTTGAGACATATTTTACACATGTCTAGTTCCCATCTATCCCGTCGTACAGTCTCACCTCAAGTAGCTTCAGGCACAAAAGATGTAAGATGCGGCCAGACTGAATAAAACAGGGCATCACTACACCAAGTCTCTGACTTTTGATCTGAGCCGTGTAGGGAGAATGTAAACTTCCCGGTCTGGGTCTACTAGACAACAGAAACTGCTGGTTGCAGACTAGAGGTGATACATCTGAGAACGGTTTGTAACGGCACAACTGTATTCACACATTATCGTCATCACCATAGTGAATTTCAGTATTGTTTCATTTCTCCTTGCTCTCCCTCCATGAATTCCTAACACTTTTGACTGCTTTCTTTCTCACTTTTTGTTTTTCTTGCATCCCAGTGCATTCCCGTTTGATGTGTTACTTATATGAAGTGTGGAAGTTTACACGGTTACGAGTAATCCTAGATACCGTGGCGATATTATATGTCTCTCTCTATAGCTTACAGACATACATGCACTCAATACTTTACAGATATTCTGAATTATATCCCGATTTAAGATGGAACTAAAAGCCCAACTGAAATTATTTCACTCATACACCGAAAATAAGATGAACAAGTTGAGGTAATTCAAGAGTTGAATTTGGACACTGTGGTAAAGCATGATTATGAAGTTTAGTCTAAAGAACTTCAATATTTCTATCTTGATTACTGGCAATCAATCTCTTACATAAGATTTTTGCTAAATCATTACATCAAGAGAAAGTCAAGAATTCCCATAATAAATATATATTCATATTTCAGTCGCTCAAGTTGGTTTGACTTTAAGCATATAATATATTCTACTGATCGCCAGGGTATAGTCGTGCAAATTTATGACCACCATCGTTTTATGAGGATAAACGGAGTGAGCTTCATGAAGTGACTAAAATTTGAGTTCAGATACCACTCACCTACACCTATCACACAAAAGACATTGACGACTTAGTCAGCCCATCAGTGGTTAATTTTTTCACACGCACTTAAACACGTATATATGATGAATCGCAGAGTGGATTCTATTGAACTGTGACTCACTGATTTAACAACTTGATTTTTGAACCAACCAGCTTCGCTTGCCGAGGTCTAAACAGACAGGTAGTATTGTTAACTGTCATGCAGTAGATGTGGCTTGATGTCTAATACACCAATGTGTGCGAAAGTGGATTTCGACTCGACTCGACTGACAGTCACTATCGAACACTAGTTACTTACCCTTCAAAGTTATTGTAGGAAATCTTCCATATTCTAAACCGGATACACGAAAAAGGTAAAATCCATACAAATTCTCATGATTTGATACTTCTTTTGTATTCAGTATGCTATCTAATTTTATAGCATGGTTACTGGTTGATTCACACAATAAGCGGTCATCTGTAATAAACAGGAAAAAAATGCTGATGAGATGAAAAAGAAATTATACTCGCTGTAATTATAGAAAAAAAATTTCATTGTTTTTCAGCAAGTCCATTTAAGCTTCTAACTGATAAATCACTTAAAATTTGACAAGGAAACAAAAGCATTGTATACATGCTAATGGTCGAAGATAACAGAAATACGTTTAATTTTCAATATGTAAACAGAAAGTGACTAACGCCAATCCACACAATTTAAACGAAAGTGATTGCACCTGAACAGCCAGTTATCTAGGATAATTTCATAAATTACTTGCTATAGGAAGCGATGATTCCTTACTGCACTAATAAGAAACCAGTATTTTCAGCAAACAATCTTTACATGAGTACAAATAACTGATAAACCCTGAAACAAGAAAAATTCAGTTTAGCAAAAATTTAGAAGCACATATTATAGGACTGTGAAACACATCAAACAAGTAAAGGTATGTCAATATTAGTAGGTTGTATCCACGACAGACAATCAAACTCAGTAGTAGTTTTAACGAACCATACTACTTAATTACAACCTTTGAAAGTAGTAAACAAAATAGCTTTCGTGTTCAGGTTGATTTACCGAGACTCTTATCAAGGAATTAAGAACAATATGATCGACATCGCTGAATAATACAGCGACCAAACAACACTCAGTGATTGAAATGAGATTTAGGCCTACTTAGCAGTTGGGTTTCAGTTGGTGCAGAAGTAAAACTGCAAGCTTTAAGATGGCATCTGATGCATGCTATGTCTCAATCATCATTCTTATATGATAAATAATAAGCTAACCTGGGTGTGAGAATCGTTCAAAATGCAGAGGATTTTTCCGATAACAACTTCTCCCATACTTACAGGACTGTCGAGTTTGTTCTACATCAGAATTCGTTGACTGTGTTGTTGAACTAATCATCTGTAAATATAAAATACAGATGACCAAGTTATAAATTCAGAAACGATAATGCAGGCACAATAGATGATTTTCAAAAAACATCTGAAGATGATGCACACTGACCCAAAATATGTGCAAAGTAATATTACTCGCAATAAAACAATATTATGTTAGATCCATGACGGGTTGCCAAGGCTAAGACAAAATATTACCGCTAAATAACTAATTCAACAACTACCGGATAACAACTTCGATACTTCTTCAGAAATAAAAAGTGAGAGAAGGTAAGTACTTTAGTGTTTTGTGACATACAAGAAACAAACCACACTCCTTACATGTAATTACATTACTTAGGATTTTGTCTAATTTATTACTAGCGTCATCAGCCAATAAGAAAGCAACACTAAGCGAACTCGGAGAATATTGTTTACCACTTAGAAATTCCCGATATATATATATATATATATATATATATATATATATATATATATATATATATATATATATATATATATTCGAAAAGACAAATTATTGAATAAAGAATTTTTCTTCAATAACTCTTTCCTCACGTTCCACAGTTTTATGTATATGAAATAACTACCATAAATTGGCGTTGTAACACCAATCAGCCAACATAAGCATATCTCAAATTGTCTCACTAATGATCAAGAAGGAACTGCCACTCTGGTTTGGGACGAAGCCTGTCTGGGAGGACAATGTAAATACGAGGAACGGGTAGTGGCGTACAACGAGTTCGCATGACAATAAAATAAAACCGTCCGTGACTACAGTGGAGTTAAAACCTGATCAGCAGCAAGGTTTCGTAGCTCAGTCAGTCGAGAGCTAGACAGGAAACCTACAGACTACTAGTTTGAATCCTGCCTAGAAAAACATTTTCATTCCACTTATAATCATCACCCCGCATCCATAGTGAACAGTCCCGAAATTCTTATAGGAGACATACAGGAAAGGTAATATCAGAATATACCACTCGTAAGTTCAACAGATGGTTATCTCGGAGTTATTATTCAAAGTAAACGATTATGGATGACATTGAATTTTATAATGCTGAGTGATTGTGATCAGAGTTTAGGATGAATTCAATTCACACGAATAAACGTTAGCATAATTAGAGGGACAATGAAATGAAGGGAAGGGTTTTTGCGTGAATGAGAAATAAGATAAACAACGATAGTGTGGTAAAACCAATAGGTTAAATTGTGCCAGTCGACAGGGATAAAAATGAAAGAATCCGTTAAGATTTAGGGCTACAAGGAATAATGGAATATGTACAAGTGATTTAGACATTACAATCCAAACAGCTGATGTAACAGGGTACCTAAAAACCTATTTATTCCAAAGATGACCAAGGTTTTAGTAATGGCTGGCCTGTCTCTGGTATACACATAATTCAAGTTATTTAGGCCGAATGGTTACACCTAGTGCTACTTGAAGTACTGATTGTCTGGTAGCTTTCATCGAGTTAACAAAGATACAGTAAATGCTACAAAGTAACTTAGAACATATTAACAAGATGGTCCGTTTGTAATATGTGAGCTACTATCAAACAATTTAGATTTTTCACTGTACCTTTATTGAGCAATACAGAGGAATGATCAATAACGCGAAAGATTGAATCCCTAGAACACTTGGAAGTATAATTAGCTCTTCGGGAGCAGCTGAATTGATAAGCACAACAAGAAAAACTAAGTTTAACCCTCTGATCTTCGGCTTGTAAACACAACTGAGCTCGTCGAACACAAGAGCCGCAGTTTCCCTGCATAACAAACTCGCTGGACAGATTTCCATGACTTCTGAATAAGCTTCACGAGGCGCTCCCACTTTACACTTTATTGATGTTAGGCAATTTCTCGTTCATAGATAATTCCATATATATATATATATATATATATATATATATATATATATATATCCTTGATCGATCCACCTGTTAGTCATAAAATAACAATGTCTCCTTTTGTGTGAATCCCATCATTAGATTTGGTGGGCATCTCACACCTATTTTTTTTTGCAAAGGAAGAATCCATCAACCATATATCCAAAGTAAAGTGTAAACTTCCCGACGAATTCAACCAGAGGACCATTTTCTAATATACCTAGTAAAATGTTTGCTAATATAGAAGCCAGTGGACAGTAAGTCCTGACCCAAATCTTTGTCTTTGGAATTCACGACTAAATATCAGCGAGCAACTAGGTAGACAGTTATCGCAACAGAATTAAAACCACCCATCCAGAAGAAGCTTTGCGAAATCTCCAGTCTGGTGCAGAAACAGTGAGGAAGACAGTAACTAGCTTCGAAAAAAGGGTGCAAAAGCGTAAGTGGAAAGAAACAGTTCCTTGAGAAATAATGCATGTGTGATTCATTCTTTGAGGCTTCAAAAACAAAGAAGATAGGAAACAACTAACATGTAGACAGATGAGAACGCATTCACTGACTGCGATCAGTGGCCGGTAATGAAGCTTGAAGCGAATAACAAGACTACGGCTAAACGAAACAGTAGATAGCAATTAGGAAGTATCACGGAAAGTGAGGGGGAGACTATAGCGAAGAAGGACGGGTCTGCGATTTACATGCCGGGAAAGAAATGGATGACGGCGGAACATCTGAAGAAACAATGCAACTAGCTTCCAGTCACAGCACCGATGCCTACTACTGAGATCACAACAGTGAGATAGAGCATTTAACACCAGAAGTCGCGAAAGCTGTAAGCTAAAAAGAGACAAAGCACCAAAGAGAAACGAGATAGTATCAGAAATACTCAAGGACGGTGATCGTTGCTTATTGGCCAGGTCAACTGAAGTGTTAGCAAACGTATATCAATCAAATAAGATCCCTCTGATTAGCCTCAATCACTGACTGTCCCAGTCCTCAAGGAAGGTAAGAAATCCCCTTGTAAGAACTGCAGGGTAATCAGTATGACGAGTGGTGCATGTGATTCCAGTTCCGATAACAATGAGGTATCTAAATGAAGCTTAGGAAATGTAAACCTGTGAAAACCAGACAAGTTTCAGGCATGGTCCCGGTGCATCAGCAGGATATGCATCATCCCAAAGTTCCAGGATACACGTATTTACCGTCACTAGACGAACTTCTACATCTGAAGGCAGCATCCAACTCGTTCAACCGAAACGTTTTACGGCAGTGTACTTCAATAAAGTGATGCTGGGTAAGCATGTCACCTTACTGAGGACTATTTATTCGTATAACACTGAGTGTCTTACATCCTGTAACAAATAAGTTGATGAGTGAAAAGAAATAGGAATACCGAACATACATTTTACACTGAAATGAGCATCTAATTTTGAAGATAAGTGACACTGAAATAATATCACCGACCGTATATTACACATCAAGGTTACATAATCATTGGTTATGCTTTTACCTAGCTAGTAAATCGTTCACTTGTGATATCTCTCCTAACACAACACTAGTCAACCCCTTGACATACAACCCAATCAATCATTTACACATTCAATAAACACACTTCGATTACACAATTAAGCATACGTCATCCAATCCGATAACACAATTAGTAGAATAAAGCATAAAATAATAACCATAACATAGTTCAGAATTCACCATCACTGGAAATCTGATAGTACTTCGCATGCCTCTATCAAAACCCACACGCAAACTTTTGAGCCACGACTAGTCTTCCCTACTCCCTTGTTCAACGATGGGAAGTAAAGTGGTTGAGCGGGTTGGAAATTTCACTTACCACCTCAGAAGTCAAATCAACCCCGGTGACTAGTCAGTCACCCACGAGATCTCTGCACCAATACAAATGCACCACTTGACTGAAGCTAACATCCCTCAAGCAGGGCACCACCGTGATACCCGATAGCCTATTAACCGACAAGTTCACTCTCCAACAGTTCCCTCTGCTTTACCATATGTCTGTGAAAAACTCTCATTAAAGTTGATGACTGTGAGTAGGCCTAAGGAATTCGAACACCGTTACCTTAGCAGCATAAGACATAAGTCATGGTGTCACCACATCAGCAACGTAGACGTCAGGTATGCAGTTCTGGGCACAAGGGAAAGGTCAGTTGATGAGGTTCTGAAACTCCATCCACTCAGGTGGTTGAGACATATTTTACACATGTCTAGTTCCCATCTATCCCGTCGTACAGTCTCACCTCAAGTAGCTTCAGGCACAAAAGATGTAAGATGCGGCCAGACTGAATAAAACAGGGCATCACTACACCAAGTCTCTGACTTTTGATCTGAGCCGTGTAGGGAGAATGTAAACTTCCCGGTCTGGGTCTACTAGACAACAGAAACTGCTAGTTGCAGACTAGAGGTGATGACTGATAAAATCAAAGTTGAAACTGCTACATAAGTTCAGTTTGTTACATTTCATAGTAACATGCAAAGTACAAATGGAGATTGATATCATACTAGATAAAGGTGTTTGAAAAGAAAAGCATTTCGAAAATTAGGATTGGTGGAAATGTTCAAGCTCTAGAAGACACCAATAATTGCGCACGTCTACGCCATCGTGATGGAATTTCAGGCATTTAACTAAGAGTCTACAACCGTTGATCCGTATGGTCTCCGCTCCCTCAGCTAGGTGATGAACACCTCTGCATATAGCTGAAAAGACTGATCACCACAGACTTCATGGTTTTGCTACTCTGAACCTTCTCTCAACTTAATCCTAGTTGTCCGACCATTGCATATCAAGGTTAGGCGATGTCTCGGAATAAGCAACACTCGTCCAAGTCCCCTTAGTAGCTAGAGGTTCAAAACTTCATTGCCTGTCTCACTTAGTACGCTTCGTCTAACCTGCACATTGCCCCACCAAATGTGAGTAATGCTTCGAAGACACCTATGATAAAAGACCTAGTCTCTTCATACTACGAACAGCCATGTCTTACTGCCTTATAACAGAAAAGAATAGACTGCAGCCCAGCATATTCGTCCGCTGAAAGTTATTCGGATATCTCGCCAGCCGGAGCCACAGATAACGCAAGCTGGCAAATGTCAAAGTACCTTCTGGATTCGAGCTGAGATTGAGCCAGAAACCAACCGTTATGGCGGATGCACTCTGCAAGGAAGTAGAGCGTTGATGCGTTTAACTACTTCACTCTGTATCTTCACAATGGGAGTAGTTTCAGACCAGTCCTGAAGCATCATTTAATACTTAGTAGATGCGAAACGCAAGCCAAATGTACCCAGATTTCTGGTTAGCTGTGATTCGGCTCAGAGTCAATTTCAATGGCGCACATGTATCCACACATTATCTTCATCTTAACCGCCATCCCGAATTTCAGAACTGCTTCACTTCTCCCTTTCTCCCTCATCTTTCATCATAGTGCAATCTCGCTTGATGTGCCCTCTCCTATATCGAGTGTAGTAACCTGGACTGCTGTGCATCCGTATCATGTCTAATATTGGTACTATGTATATCCTGCCTTTATCACCGCCAAATTACAAATCTACCATTCGTGAGATATTTAGGTGGTAATTCTTCAATTATTTCCACTGAAAGTCCAACATTTAGTTGTCTCACATTCACTTGCTCACATATGTAGTTAGCTGCTCCAATCAGAGGGTTTTTTAAACGAGTGAAGATTCTCAGCATATTACACTAGATCACATTTAAATGTGGTAACATTTACATAGATAGGACCCAGAAATCTATGCAAGTAAGAGCCATAGAGCACATTTCCAAATAGTTCCAACAATATATCAAGCGGGACGATCCGATAGATATCACTGAAATGGGTCGCGAAATAGAAATGTATACCTTACCTATTATCGACACCTACCAGCGACAGATACTGCAGCTTCCTGAGGTTCCTAGATATACAGAGGTTTCGGTCACTTTCATGTATCCAAAAACAAACTGTCATTAAACCGATCCTCACTCTTTAATTCAGGTTTGATATCAAGGGTGGTTTACACTTTACTTCTCTAGTCCTATCTATGGTTTGACGTTTGAACTAACAATTCGAATCTTCACTATGTCATTTTGTCTCTGAAACTAATTTATCCCTTGTTAAACTTTGAATACAAAACAACGATAAGGTTACTTAGAAGAAAACAAGCAGTCTCCACCAGTTATTAGTAAGAATAAACACCTTGAGTTCGTGTAAAATTAAATCATGCAAGACAATACAGTAATAATATACACAGGTAACAGAAAACGAAAACAAATCACCGCTAATAAATTTGTTTTTTAAATGAGTGCAACCAGACATACTAACACTCAAATAACTTAAATGGAAATCCAACCCACTGGTTGAGACTTCATGGAATTTTGAAAGACGAACGTTAGCAGTGAGCTATGAGAGCTTAGGAGATTAATGACTGAAAACAGAGGTCAGCTGCTTCGGTTAGGAGACATAGACTTTATGTGATTGTTAGATTGCGAAACACACTAAATAAACATGCAGCCAAGTGGAGAATGGAAAAAGGTACTCCTTGTTCTTTAGGGTCGGACTCAGTTACCTTGTGTGTATTCGTGCGGTAGGCAATGAACCACACCTAGTGTGTGAGGGCTGGTGACACTGTCTGGCTGGCTAATCCTCGTAGGTGAAGTGGTGTTCAAAGCTGTGACCCATTAGTTGGAGACTTAGTAATCTGAAATTTAATGGTATGCTACGCCATGTACAAAACATGATCAACTGTAACCACGGAACATACTCGATGAAGCCTCAAATTTTTTGGAAAAGTTAGTGCCAAAATCAACGTTTTTCCTCAACAAACTTTAATCTAATGCGATTTGAATACTTCGAACTTTGACAGACATAATGAATTATCTAAATCCAAATTTTATGTCCCTCTCCTTGCAAAAATAAATACCTAAATGAGTATTAAATTAACCACCTTAATCATACTGATATAAAGAAGACCCTAGTCATGAAGATGCCTTATGGAGTAATGCAGTGAAACACATGATGGATCAGTAGTCAGTCAGCAAATATTCATCACCAACTTAGATAATCCATAGAAACCCGTTAATTTCCCTTGGCTTGTTTGTTCTGAAATATAGTAAGATGAGCTAATGCATTACTGTGCAAGGCTTTTCTTTTGTCTTCATATACACAATCTATATGCTCAGTCATAAAGGCTGCTTCTTCCAAAACTATAGAATTCCGAAACAAACGGTAGAACTTTAAGGAAAAACAAAAACAACAGCAGTTATCATTCCAAATGAACTTAATTACATAGTAGATAGAACTTTATGGAGATCAATTCACAATTAAAACAATATACTATACAAAAGGTTTATTATTATTAATTGATAGGGAAGTGAACATCAAACTGAGGAAAATAGGAAATAGCAAGGTATATCAACGACAATATGATTATGTATATTTAAGCATAAATTGTAGAATCCATCAAGTGAATCAGTATACTAAATACACAAACAGTTCAATCAATAAATATTCAAGATAAAAAATTAAAGTACAGTCATACACCAAGTTTTAAACGAAAATCTTGATATAAGGTTTACTCAATTGTGAATGAGAATAAATCTGACGTACAAAATTAAATATAGATGAAAGTTTGACAAAGCAAGTAAGTAATGCGGAAAATAAACCCGGAACTCCAAGAATTAAAATTCAAACATCCTCCATATCATCATCATCATCGTCATCTTCGTCTTCATCATCCCCATGATCCTCAATAATCTCGTCAGGATCCACTAAGTCATCATTCGTGTCGTCACTATGAGCCATCGGATGGCCGCTGTTGACACCAATTACAGAAGCAGGTATATCACGGTATCACTAATTAGAGTTCGAACCAAAGAGGATGAGCCCATGCGAGAAACTCTGTCATTATCGAACTGACGATTTAAAATACTAGCAACTGAAGATGGAGTATGTTGCCGATGGCGTAAAAGTCCACCAGGACCACCAGGAACAACGTAACCACGTGATGCAGCTGCGCGAGCATAATGTTGAGTATCACCTGGTACAAAACCACTATTGGAAACAGATCCAGTAATACGACTATCTTCATCATCTGAACTTCTGTTTAGATAAAGTTGTCTCAAACTCCCGTCATTTACAGTAGGGTTTCCCGTATCAAATAGGTTCGTATAATGCGTACTGTTATTCAGTGGTGATTGTTGACTATTTCGCATAGAATGACCCAAACCTGAGTGGTCAAGTTGCTGGTGTACACTACCCGATCCTCCGTGAGCAGATCCCATAGGACCACTTTCATCTGCCTGCCCCGCTGCAGCTGCTGCAGCTAATCTGGCCTCTACAAATAACCTTCTCTGTTGATGGAGAGCTTCAAAATCTGGAACAATAGCTTGACGTCGCTCGTAAATCGCTAAAAATTAAAAGGAAAAAGATTCGAACCAATTTTATGCGGTTGTTTATTATCTCACATGCTGAAACCGTATTCAGAATACGTATAGCTGTTTTTGCTTTACTGAAAGCGTACATCACAGCGAAAGTACTTTAAAGTTGACGACAAATGCTGGTGTAGACTGTCTAATAAAATGCCAAACTGTACGGAAAAGCTAGCTGATGACCGTAATGTACAGGTCTACTGCGACAGAAATGATAATTGAGATGAATTCGAAATGAAGCTAAGCGACCACATGTACGTTGGTGCAGTATACCACGAGCCAAACGTATGAGCCATATATATATATATATATATGTATATATATATATATATATATATATATATATATATATATATATATATATATGCATGCATCATCGTTCAGTTTTGAAACCTGTTTGTTTTTCTTGACGTTAGTGGTCTCGAGGTTTGGTTCAGCGTCGTATCACTTTGAACCACAGGATTTCGGACATGTTTGTCAGGCTAATTCATGTGCTTATATCACCCGAAGAGTTTGCACCTTTCGCATAAACTGGTATGATCAGTAAGTAGACTAGTCGGTAACTACTTCTCAATTACATAGACTAATTGGTGTCCCTACAAATTCACTAAGTAATTTTCCACCTCAGTGCTTAAGACCCCTTGGTGATAAATAGTTAGATCTTACTGTTTTGCATCATTTTAATTTTCAGAAAGCTTTCTTAACTGCAATACGAGCTGAACGGCAAACACTTACATCCCATTTTCGTCCCGGCAGGACGCTGGGCAACTAAAACACGACTTCAGGTCAATTGAACTGTTCTTTAAAGTGTTTCCCCTAACCTTCCAACCACCTGTCCTCAGAGGTTATCAGTGACCAACCTGTTCAGAACACAGTCTCGCTGACCATCGTCTTCTGCATGTAAGTTCCCTGAAAAAGGTTAAGTAACTGCAGAGTATTAGTGCTGATGACTTCTCCATTGCTTTTATCCTCCCTATACTTCACAGCACAGTCATCATAAAGAATTTTGGTCAAGTCACTTTTGAGCTGCATTCGCTCCTCATTATGGTCAGAGCCAGTAAGAATGAGTCTTCTTGTGCCAATCAGCTTGGATGAGGGGGGTTGGAATGCAATTTTTTTTGTTATTGGATGCAGTTACATCCCCTAAGATACACCATTAATTGGCTCAGTTTCTCCATTTGAGCGTTGAAGTGGTGCATTAGTAAGACACCAGATTCTTTGCTTAATGTGGCGAAACTGACAGCTCTTAGTAGAACTCATCTTTAGAATCCTCCGAACTAGGATCAGTAGATGCGCAGGTGAACATTACAAAGAGGTACTGAGTGCGACGGTTTTCTCCACTTAGCTTTTCAACGAATTTATCTTTTGCTTGGTGCGAACCGCTCGCACTGGGTAATTATAACCTCAGACTATAAAGATACACGTATGTTTACGGTTGTATGTAGAGGACAATCAGACAGCTGAATTAAGTTCACTAGACCATCCATCAATGCTGTACTTATAAACCTACGGAAAGCACCCAACGAATCACTTTTTATTTGTCAATCAACCAAGTCAATATCAATACTCGTTGGTTGGGTGATATCAACTCATCATATCCTTGTCTACCAGAAAATATCACGTATGATTGATAACTTACAGGGTATTAAAGAAATTCAACACAGCTCAATAATTTAAATACCCGAACGACTGTCCTCAAAATTGAAACTGCCTGAATGTAACCGTAACTAATAAAGCCAAAATCGATAATAACTAGATTAGCCAGTTAACAATTTTAGTTAATTTCTTCACTTATCTAGAAACACCTTCGAGCATAGGAACAATATTACTAAAGTACAACTCAACCGGCTAACAGTACAAAGACATAATGACATTCAAAAACGGCAGTAAATTAAGTGTTATAGGACATCACTCAATACCATAGACCACTTAGATTAGAGAAAGTAAATCGACAAGGAAAATTTTTTTCCTTTCTAGGAATTCATTTACCAAGGCTGTATAATCATATTTGTAAATTATAGGAAACAAATAACAGGCTACTGTTAATAAGTAGAGTCACGTGATTATCAGAGCAGATGGGTTCAGAAGAGATACAGTTTTGTATCTTGCAGAAGAACTGGCGATTCATCGATTCAAGCCAGATCTATGTGTGTAGAAGCAGTATTTCCAAACTCTACTTTTAACATGGTCTTATTGGTGATGCATCACTGTGTTATCAATCTCTTGGCTATATTGACTAACAGTAGCCTGCTATTTTTTCCCTCCATTTATAAATACAACGGTAAATAAATTCATTGAAAAGGAAATCTTCGTAAATTTAACTTTCCTCTTTATAACTTAATGGGCACCACTAGTCGTTAACTTAATTTCGTGGTATGGCAGTTCACTGACTTAGGTGTTCAACTTTCAAATGGAGGATCAACAGCTTGGATTAGCCTCCACCCACTGATGTTTAGGCAGTAAGATAGCTTTGTTAGTCTCCAGATACTAGATGCATAGTGCAAGAACCTTAAAATGATCGCTTATTTTGAAAATATCATTCCTGAATCAAAAAAAAGAACGCTTACCTTCCACATAAAATCGCAACGATGGTGGAACTAACTCTAAGCATTGATTATATTCTTCTTGTGTACAATGAATAGTACCAAGACGAAGCATCAGACCCATGCGTTTCAATGTATCTACTTCATCACGTATTTCGTAGGCTTGATCGAAAGTGAATAAATATTCCAGTCTAAAACAGACATGATTTTTATGAGCATAAGGAATGATTTTTCAATGGTAAAAATATCACATACAAATATTTGTTTTTTCGTAGGATAAAAACTAGACATCTACTTCGATTGAAAGGATTTATGTGCACAGTGTGGATCACAAAAAACCTGCTGAACTAATCCATACAAATCACGGTTTACAGAAAACTATGATACTAATGAAACTTTGAACATAAATACATTGTTCAGGAGATAACACGTTATATCTATGGGGCACGCTTAAAAATAAGCTTTTAAAGAAGCCGAATAAACCTATAGCCATGTTCTAGTAATGTAGCATAATGCTAATTGTAAAAATCCAAAAAGTTACCTTACAACTTTTGTAGCCCAAAAGAATATAAAAAAGAAAAGTATATATATCGCTTTTTAAAACCCGGATTATTGCATTAGCTGTCAATGTCCTGTAGACGAAACTCGTATTAGATTTCAAAATAAATTCCAACCCCAAGCCCGAATACCAAACACTAAAAACATTATCAAATCCCAGAAATACTTAGTTCCTACCCATGACATCAGAAGAGAAATAATCATTCAAAAGATAGTAAAGATCCCCTAGTGTGTAGTATACAACTGACGGATACTTTGTTATAGAAATATTCTGATACAATCTCAGTGTCTTAGCTTCATAAACGTATTGATATATTCCTTCCAGGACATTTTAACACCTATCGTCTGTATATTTATGGGTTGCATAATTCATTAACGCAGTAGAATGAATGATGTCTGTTGAATGGTTGTTAATACCAACAGCTTTACCTGGTCAAAGTAGACAGAAGGGGCGTAAACACCTTATATAGTTGGTGTGTGAGGCTACATCACTGGCATTTTACATAAAATGTCTTGACAAGTTAATGTGTAATCAGATTGTTCAAAATGTATCGCGCAAATACATCACATTACTCAGATAACCTTCGTCTTCTTATTATAGTATGCAAATAGATGTTTGAAATTTAAAAGAATGAAATGCACAGAAACTTTGCTTCTTATTGTCTTAAAATGATTTCAGTTTACAACGATATTTGCTAATGTAAAACATCTACTGTATGAAACACTAACTTTAAGAACTGCGTAGTTCAATCGGTGAGCATTTAACAGCTAAAAGAAGTGCATTTACATATAAACTTACTTATCAGTAGATATGTTGCAATCAATAACCGTTTTTCTATGTGTAGATATCACCATAAATGGCAAAGGAATTTTTTCATTGCGAATCTTTGAAGTTCCACTGGGAATAATTCTCTCTAATTCACCGGCGACATGGGACTCCATCAACACACGATTATGTCTATAGCGATCATTGATTTTATTGCGCTTTAGAAGGTTTTTAAAAGCGATTAACTGCATTATGAGATCTTGTATTTCGGCAGTCTAAAAAATAATCAAAAAAAAAGTAGCACTGTAACTTAGTGATATCACTTAAGGAAAAAGAGCTGCGGTACACGAGAAAAAAGAATATAATGAGCAATCGAGAAGTAGCCAGTAGTCTAATGCGGCGATTTCTCTACGGAAAACCTTCATCTTCTAAGATCACCAATAAGAGGAAATATTGTCATATTGTAGAAACGTTAGCATATGCAGTTCATAATCAAAAATGGCAATCATGCTGAAATTTCCCTATTTCTTCCATCACTGAACAATAAAACGAAAGTGTCGCGGATCTTGATTTGTTGGTGTGAGGGGTGGCAACCTACATCTTTATGTAGTCAGTATTGCCAGGTCCCATGCTGATAATGGTTAACTATGTTGTGTGTGCCTGTACATTACACAGTCCAGGTAATAATTAAGCTACAGTGTGAAAAATTCGCTAGAAGGAATAAGACATATAAACCCTATCAGGTTTTCTCAATGTGGCATGTGGCATGTGGCGAAGTGATACGAAAAAGCGATCCATTTCGACTTCGTCGCTTAGTGAAGCTGAATCACCAAGGGAGCATCAGCTTCTTCCTCATGGTTGCAGATACGCCTCGTCGCTGAGTGCCAACAAGCATGAAACCTAACATGCACGGTTTCCTGCCGAATGATTCTAACAACCTAATGCCAAAACACCGTGCACTATGGTGTCACGTCACTTCGCTTAGTGGCTCCATTGTAAAAACTGACCGACAAACTTTGATCATTCCTTGGTACTAAGGACCTAACCACCGATGACCAATTCGTGTAGTGATGCCTGTTCTAATGCCTACGCACCAAATTAGCCACTTATACATCAACAAGTTGGTGTCACTCCGTTTAGTGTCTGGAGTCAAGTGGACGGTTGTTTTCCAAATTTCGATGCAAAGGGTGCTTTCAAATGTTTCAAATCCTTGAATACACCTGGTGGTGTCCAGTATTATCATTTAGAAAATGTGAAGATGTTTTCTGCCATTCTAACGCAGATATCCTGAGTGCGTAGTTTTTCAAAAATACGGTACCTGTCACCTGCAAATATTGAAACCGCACCACTACACACGATATGTCCTTTAGGATTTAGTGTAGAATTTAGACTTTACCTATGTTTTGCAATTAAGAGACAAACTGCTCCTACTTGTGTTTGAACTTCAATTCAAGGCTTTAAGCAACCTAAAAGAATTTGCATATAAACGCTTAGGAAGTAATTTGTCGTCACTTTAGGCTTAACTTCATTTTGTCTGTTTGTTTCACTTCTTCTTTTCAACTTTTCACCTTTATTAACCTCTGCATTCTTTCATCATCATTATCAGTAACGTTTTTCCATTTAATAGCTTTCAGCGTTACTTCGTTTGTTCTTCTCAATAATTATAACTTCTAACAAAGAGACTACTATTTTAGCCTAAGTAATTACCTCGGTCATACTCCCTAGTTCTTATATTGCTTATTAGCTATCATGTTTCCATCCTTTTTCAATACATATGTACACTATAGGGGATTCAAAAAATCCTAAATAACCCTTTTTCTCATCAATCAACCTTTACGTCATCAACAAGCAACATTATTATAACTATATCCACTGTTGTCAACTCGGACCGTTACGCAGTAATGCCTGGTCCTATGTTGATTTTGATGATGATGATACAGGATTGCCGCTCCATATGGAGTAATCCTCTCGACTCTGATCATACCTTAGTATACGCTAAGCTCGTCTTAAGTTTTGGTCATCACTGACCCAATCTTAACAACGCTATATGAAATCTCACCATTTTGTCATTCCTCCTTCCTTTCTTCTCGTACTTTACATTTCTTTTGACTGCATTCTCTTATCTTCATCCTTCACCTCACTACCTTTCTACTTAATATACTGTTATGAGGTGTGGCAACTCGGACTGTTACGCAGTAATGCCTGATCCTATGTTGATATTGATGATGAACACTGACCCACCTAACCAAGCGAAAGTCCATAAGGAACTTCAAGTTCTGAAATACCACAAGGAACCGAGCCCTGACAACCTACCCCCAGCTCTTCTAAAGGATGCAGGAATGACTCTAGTCAGGTCACTGACTAGATTTTTTGAGAATGTATGGTAAACTGACAGTGTTCCATCACTAGCCCGACCGATAGCTGCTCCCTTCATGCGGTAGTCGGGCTTGCATATCACAATGACCCAACGAGCTATGCTGGTGGAACACTTGTTCCCTCGAGGTCCTACCATACCAGAAAGGTCTGTTGGGTAGTGGTTAGACGAAAAGCAGTTACCGTTATAGTGTAAATTGCTACACTATGATGGGGGTCTGAGGGCGAAGTCGTACTGCTGCTAGCTGGATGGGGTGTGACAGCAGTAAGGTGTTTCCCTTGGATGACCAGCAGTGCCAAGCTGATGCTGCCTTCTCAGTGGAAGGGGGGGTTAGAAAAGGTCGGCCCCAAAAATAACACACTCCACCACGCCCCACGGTCTGCCGGGCCGGCGGTGTTGGTTCACTTGTCGTTTCCTTTCGACCATCCGGCCCCAAAAATACAAAAATTCAAAATAATCATACTCAAAAGGCTGGGTGTGACAGGCCTCAAGCAGATGTCCGATGGGCTCTGCGGTCACACAAATCTCTTTCAGGTACCTTAAGAAGAAATAGCCTTCCACGGTGTGGGCAGCCGGGAAGTGTCAACCGCCCTCACAACTCTGTCAGCACCCAAGTTTCTTCTGACTGCTATCCTCCTCCTCCATCATTACCTTCTAATCTTCCTTCACGTCTCTTAATTAATGATGCTGCATCATCTTCAATTTCTCCTACCTCTGCAGCCTTCGACAACGATCTGAGTCCACAGAACAGCATCCCTGGTCTCCTTAAACCACGCTCCAAATTACATATTGGAGCCTTCAATGTCCGCACCCTCCGTCAAATTGGCCAACAGGCTTCGTTGGCAAAGACTCTAGCAACTCGGGCATGGATGTGTGCTGTGTTTGTGAGACACGCATACAGGACCCAAGTGTGGTTATTCACCTGACCTCTCCTGACCAATCTGGTGAATCTGCAAAATTCACCCTTCGAGTTTCTGGAGATTCGATAGCTAGCTCTCGTGGTCTTGCAGGTGTAGGTATAGCATTAAGCACCAGGGCAGAAAACTCACTACTAGACTGGATCCCAGTTGATAGTCGCCTCTGCGCTATGAGGCTGAACGGCACAGTGAGAACTAAAAGGAATAGTGAGACTCGCCGTTGTCTCTTTGTAATCTCTGCTTACGCACCCACTGACTGTAGTTCGGATGAAGTGAAGGACGAGTTCTACCATAAACTGTCTAACCTCCTCTCGAAAGCCAAACGTTCGGACGTAGTGGTTGTTGCAGGTGACCTCAACGCACAGGTGGGTAGACTGAGTGAGGCAGAAAGGCACTTAGGTGGCACTTTCGGAATCCCAGCTGAACGTACAGATAACGGTGATCGCCTATTACAACTATGCTCAGATAACCGCCTATTTTTAGCCAGCACAAATTTCAGACATAAAGAAAGGCACTGTCTGACCTGGCGTCCACCGAGCTCGACTCAGCGATGGACACAGATAGACCACATTGCTATTAGTCATCGCTGGAGAGGATCGGTGGAAGACTGCCGCTCCTTCTGGAGTACGTGTTTGGACAGCGATCATGCGTCTCAATGGACGTAGAAAAAATTTGGCAACAAAACCACTACGAGTTCTGCTGGACAACGAAAACACCAAAGCCGTGTTCAGTGAGAAGTTGGCTAGGCAGTTATCGGAACAAAAGACTGTCACTCATCCAGAAGAAGCTTGGTGCCATCTTCAGTCTACTGTAAAAGCAGCACTGGAGACTGTAGCCGACTCCAAGATAATGGCTAAAAAGAGCCAGTGGATATCAGCAGCTTCTTCCAAACTAATGGATGCACGTGAATGCATCCCTGCAGGCTCTGAGTACAATGAAGAGCGAGCGCAACTTAAAAATAAACTGACGAAAAGTCTGCGCAACGATCGTGAACAGTGGTGGGCAGCAAAGGCTAAAGAGATGGAAAAGGCAGCGGCGATCGGTAACAGTAGACAGTTATTTAGACTTATTAAGGAGACTGGGGGGAAATGGTCAACAACAGTTAGTGAGGTTATAGCGGAGAAGGACGGATCTGCGATTCACTCGCAGGGGAGACGACGAGAACACTTCGAGGAACAGTTTAACTGGCCTCCAGCCACCATTGCGCTGCCCGCTATCCAGTCGGACCCTGAATGGGACATAGAGACAGGTCCCCCAAACACTAGAAGAAGTTGAGAAAGCGGTAGGTAGCCTGAAACGAGGAAGGGCAGCAGGACCAGACGGACTACCTGCTGAGGTATACAAGAATGGTGGTAGAGTTCTCTTAGTCAGGCTAACGGAAGTGTTAGCCAGTATATGGGAATCAAATACGATCCCCTCCGACTGGTCTAAGTCACTCATCATCCCAGTCTTCAAGAAAGGCGAGAAGTCCTCTTGTGATAACCACAGAGGAATCAGCCTGACAAACATAGTGTCTAAGATCCTAAGTTCTATAATTCTCCGACGCCTGAGTGGAGCTCGGGAACAGCAAGCCCGAGAAAACCAGGCAGGCTTTAGACCTGGCCGTGGATGTATCGACCAAATATTCACACTGCGCCAGGTCCTGGAACATAGGCATGCTTACAGACGCCCGACAATAGCTGTATTTCTCGACCTGAAGGCGGCATTTGACTCCGTTGATCGAGAAGTCTTATGGCAGTGTCTGTCACTGAAAGGCGTGCCTAGTAAGTACATCACCTTATTGAAAGCTCTCTACTCGAACACTTGTGGGCATGTTAGAGCCTATGGTGAGTTGTCCAGGGAGCTATACTCATCAAGTGGTGTCCGTCAAGGATGCCCACTATCCCCATTCTTATTTAATTTTATCATAGATATTCTTATGGAGGTTTCCCTCTCGTCACCTAATTACACAGACGTTGACCGAATAGCAGGTGAATTTTCCTTAGATCTAGAATATGCAGATGACATAGTCCTGTTAGGTGAAGACGCTGACAAGATGCAGAGTCTTCTGAACACTTTGAGTGGGAATTTGAGAATGTTTGGGATGCGATTTTCACCACCCAAATGCAAATTTTTGCTCCAGGACTGGTCTTCAGCGGTACCACGGCTAATATTAGAGAGTCGACCACTTCACTTACCTGGGAAGTAGGATCAACCCTGGTGGGTTAGTTGCCGATGAGATTTCTGCACGGATACAAAAGGCTCGATTGGCTTTTGCCAATTTGCGCCACCTATGGCGCCGCCGTGATATTCGTTTGTCTATTAAGGGTCGCGTGTACTGCACAGCAGTCCGCTCTGTTTTACTGTATGGCTGTGAAACATGGCCATTGAAAGTGGAAGACATAAAAAGGCTTCAGGTGTTTGACCACCGTTGCCTTCGTAGTATAGGACGTATTCCGTGGTGTCACCATGTGAGTAATGCAGAAGTTAGGTGTAGAGTTTTAGGGAGAAGAGGTAAGTCAGTCGACGAGGTTGTGAACCTCCATCGACTGAGATGGTTGGGACACGTACTACGTATGCCTAGTCACCGATTGCCTCGTCACACAATGTTGGCTGAGGTGGGTCCAGGCTGGAAAAAGGCTCGAGGTGGCCAGACTAAAACATGGCACCAATGTATGAAGTCTCTGACTGTTGGTTTGAGCCATGTAGGGCGATGCAGACTAGGTGGTTGGGGTCCGCGGGACAAGAGGAACCAGTGGTTGGAGACCCTACGGGGCTCAGAACCGATGTTAGTGGCGCAGATGTACACACACTATCCTCATCTTAACGATGCTATACCGAATTTCATCATTTTGTCATTCCTCCTTCCTTTCTTCTCGTACTTTATATTTCTTTTGACTGCATTCACTTATCTTCATCCTTCACCTCACTACCTTTCTACTTGATATACTGATATGAGGTGTGGCAACTCGGACCGGTACGCAGTAATGCCTGGTCCTATGTTGATATTGATTGATTGGTTGTTCTATCACTACGGAATGAAGCCACTGTCGTCCACATCTTTAAAAAACGTCTACGTAGTGCATGTGACTATCATCGGGGAATTAGTCTGCTACCTGTAGCGTCGAAAATACTTCATACTTCTTCCCAGACTTTGCAGAACACGTGAGGAAATGATTCGCGAGGAGCACGCCGGGTTTCGTTCAGGTCATGGATGTATCGATCATGTGTTTACTCTCCGTCAGAAGCTTGGGCATCGACACACGCATTCCACACAAACAACCGCTGTTTCTTGACATTAGGGCTCCCTTCGATTCGTTGGACAAACCTGTGCTCTGGATTTGTCTGTTGGAGGAGGGCATGCCTCAGAAATCTATCAACATCTTGAAACCCCTATATAATAACACCTCATGTAGAGTGAGGCCACATAACAACCTGTTTACATTGTTCCAAACCAGCAGTGGAGTTAGGCAGGGTTGCTATCGTTGTCATTCTTGAGACAGCTCTGAAGGAGATGCGTGATGGTGCTATAGATCTATCTACTACCTGGAAAACAGGTACTCGACCTTGAATATGCAAACTTACTGTCCGATAACACATGATATGCAAATCGCAATTAATCAGTTGGCCATTAGTGTCGGTGAGTATGGTATGCACTTTGCACCATCGAAGTACAAAGTACTTCTATAAGATTGGCAGGAGCCTGTGCCTCCCCTCACCCTTGGTGCTGAGCCGTTGGAAGTAGTCGGAAAGTCCGTGTATCTGGGTTGTCATATGGGTACTGGTGAAGGTGTGAGTGGTGAAATTTCCAACCGCATATCAAAAGATAGAACGGTATACGCCAATCTGGGCCGCCTTTGGCACCATCGTGACGTCTGACTGTAAAAACTCGGGTTTACAAAGCCTCGGTGCAAGCAGTTCTGCTCTACGCCTGTGAAATATGGCTTCTCTGAGCTGAGGATAAACGTTGACTCTGTGTCCAAACATTGTTGTCTCCGCAGAACTCCCTCCATCAAGTGCAACATTTAGTAAGTAATCCTAAGGTACGACAGTGAGCTTGGGCATAATGGAGGTCGTCATTCAATAGGTCAAGTCATCTGAAAACACCCACTTCGGTGGCTTCGACATCTGTTGCGTATGTTGTCCCAACGACTTCCATACCGTTCATTCTTTGCTAGCCCTGAGACTGCATGGAAGAAGAGTAAGGGTGATCAGTGTGTGACGTGGTGCGTGAGATGAAGTATACTTGTGTCGGGCTACCATCTGTTGATGCATCACAACTCTCCGGGTGGGGTCCGAGGGACCACACAACTCAGTGGTTTGAGACGTTATCAGATATGTCACAGAATCGAAACCGGTGGTGGTTATTCTGTAGCTTCCTCCTATCTTCTGCTGCTGAAAAGTAATGTATTTTGTTTTGAACGTATCTTACTGGACTGCCCTTCTAATTGTTCTGTTCTTGTTGTGCCACATTTGTGTTTTAATACTAATAATAGTGATGATAATAATAATATCCTTTTCTAAGTGCCAGATTCATTATTTATATTAGGTACACAAGACTTGTGAACTGCTTTAGTGCGACAACTTTTGGAATGAGGATGAAAATGTGAAAAATATTTAAACGCTACCCAATGTGAATCGAATTCTTCTGATGTTAACTGGTCCTCCTCCTGTTTTACCACCTAGGAACTTTTTCAATTGACATGCTACACGAGGGAAGCTGAAACATGCAGAAATTGGTTGCCAGAGCGCAACCAGCATAGCTGTCTAGTCCTTAGTGCTAAGCACCAATCAACCAAGTTTGTAATGTGGCTAGCCACATAGGTGACGTAGCACTGCAGGGGACTATTTTAGTGGTGGTAGGTGTAGACAAACATGAAACCTGGGTCAGGCAGGGCTTCCCACCAATCGACTCCTAACATCTAACTGATGTAACTCAGCCTATGATGAGTTGCTGTTACATTGCACAGAGCTTTGATGGTTCTCAGTAGGGCTGATGGTGTGCATCTGACGCAGAATTGTCATTCACAGGCACATGAGTTCATAAATATCCAAAAAAATGAATACAAAAACTCAACTATACCTTATTTAGTAAACATCTTGTGCAAAGAACTTTCAAATAAACTTTTGACAGCGAATAAACACCCATTTCATCTTCGCAATCACTCACATATTACTGTTAACCATACTATTAGCACTTGTCATTATTTACCTGCAATAAAAATTTTTATTGAAAATACCATACGAGTGAATTTGTTTCATGCTGGGAATTCCATACTGTATCAAAAATATTACTTGGAATAAAATAGTTGACTTTATTAGTAGGGTTGTGGATCACTCAGTTAAACACCACTTACAAACAATGGGTCTCTGCCTTAAACCTAACTTAACCTACTTCGATCTAGGTACCTGTAGAGTAAGACAGTCTCTCCGAAAGGTCATAGTCTAGTCGGAAAGTCTGTAAATATTGTCTACGCTGATACCACTTGACTGAAGAAATGTTGGCAGTTTTCCACAGAATGCTGAGAAATTGGAGTTCGAATGTCAAAGAAACCAAGCCAGATATTTTAAATGATTCCTGTGTCACTACCGACTGTAAGAAGTGCGAATTCACAATCTTCAGCAATCGTGTTTTGATATATACAACAACGCTCCAAAAATAAGTAGGACTTAACATAGGCAATACTCAGCAGCTTCATGAAGCCCGAACATACCTTATTGCGCAAAGAAATCTGTCGCCTTTCACGCTCTTCTTCCAAACGCCGACATTCTTCGATCATGTTTACAGGCAATCCTACCCAACGTATTTCTTTTTTCTCCTTCTGCAACACATTCAAAGCCATTAGAACATTCAACGCATCATAGACACGTCGACGAATATTCTTTTGAATATAATGAAGCTACAGAGGAAAATAAAATAGAACTGAAGTTTTGCTATAGATGTCCGAATGATATCAACTGCAGTGGTAATGGAAAAACCTCGAATCTTACTTGTTCAGACGGAATCATGGGATGTTCAGCAGCATATTCATGCACAAGCTCATCAGCAACTTCACTATAAGAAGTTATGCCTTTCTCCTTAACTTTGTTACACACACAACGAGCATAACGCCGAAGACCATTAGTTTTCAAGCCAGTTGAAACCCTGAAGAAAATAAAAAAACAAGACTATCTGTTAGATTTGACGAGTGGGAGCGAAGTAACTAATGTCCATGAGGACTGAAGGAAAATCCTGGCAAACTTTATCAGAAAACGTCTGCAGTATTTAAACCAGTTTGTGATTTCTATGGTTTATCTGTCATTTAGTATGACCGACAACAGCGTAATAATTGAGCCTGTTGCTAAGACACACACTGCCTCTATTGCAACCGCGCTCCATCTACATTCTTATATATTTCAAACGAGCCCCTTTTATGAAGCGGAAGAAAAGATTCCCGCAGTCCAAATACCGCATGAAGCTATATCTTCAATACATACCTTGTGTTTAGTCATTTGCTGATCTGATTTGCGCTTTATAGGAGTGAAAGTAAAAAATTCACTGAACATGGACAAGGCATAATTACTTTTTTTTCAGAAAAGACATTGAAAGACTCAGAACAGTGAAAACGTAGTGACTTTTGCATCTTGGCGCTGAAAAAAATTAGACCAATAAGCTTGTCAGTTCAAATGATTTTAACAATGTGATTTCTGAAAATGGAATTTTTTATTAAAGTATGCTACTACTTAGATGCCATTGCGGCTTGTAATCGCACAACATACTGCGTAATAACTTACTGTTCCTGTTCATCACCTGATTCCCGTCCAGGTGGATTAGATGCATGTTCAAAGCCAGCAGCTGCAGCATTGTGCATATTCAGATCATAATAACCAGTTGGGGTTGCAATAACGCCATGGGGAGTGCCATTAATGATTTCACCCCCAGAGCCTAAAATCATCTGGTTTTCAACATCTTCTGAATTTTGGTAACTGACTGTAGGTGCTGAAAATTGTGTTGTGGGAGTACCGGATAAGATAAAAGTACCCTAAACGAGAGAAAAATGAAAGATGAGAACATGATACTCACACATATGAGCTCAGAAAGACATTAGGATTGGTCAGAACTAAACTGTCGTCAATATTGACAACTTAACCAAACTTAAAATCAGAACAAGGAATCGACTTCAAACTTCAATAATTAATACTGCCCATTCAAGTGGTCATAATATAATTCTTTACCAACAATCCGACTAGTGACTGAGACCTGGTTCGATCCTAGTAATCGATTCATGCGCACGAAAAAACGAAAACTCACCGGTCTCACAGATGTCATAGTGGTAGCACCCGTCAAAACTGTGGAACCAGATGATAATTGAGGACGAATAGTAAGGACACGCGGGAAACTTGATGTGACAGTAGCACCGCTTGAATTGATCACCTGTTGACCACCAGCAGGAAGAACTTTCACCGTTCTCTGAAGCATATGCATGGAATTACTAAAATCGAATAACACTTAAAATTATTCCTATCCAAAAATAAGAGTAAAATTAACCAAATAAGTTAGTTAGGAGTATCAGAAATAGTAGATGGAGTTACCACCTACCTCTACGTGCAATGCTAGAAGTCTTCTGGACATATTGGGTGGTAATTTGAGAATGTTTGGGATGCGTTTCTCACCACCCAAATGCAAATTGTTGCTCCAGGATTGGTCTTCAACGGTGCTCCACTGCGGCTAACAATAGAGAGTGACGTGGTTGAGTGCGTTGAACACTTCATTTACCTGGGAATTCGGATCAATCCTGGTGGCTCAGTCGCCGACGAAATCTCTGCACGAATATAAAAGGCTCGCTTGGCTTTGGCCAACTTACGCCACTTATGGCACCGTGATGATATCCGATTGTGTTTTAAGGGTCGAGTGTACTGTGCTACAGCCAGCTCTGTTCAACTGTATGGCTGTGAAACATAGCCATTAAAGGTAGAAGACATGAGAAGGCTTTAGGTGTTTGACCACCGTTGCCTTCGTAGCATAGGCAGTGTTTCGTAGTGTTACCACTTGAGTAACGCAGAAGTCAGAAGCAGGGTTTTTGGCAGGAGAGGTAAGACAGTCCATGCGGTTGTGAACCTTCATCGACTGAGATGACTGGGACATGTGTTACGCATGCCTAGCCACCATCTGCCTCGTCGCAAAATATTGGCTGAATATGGTTCAGGCTGAAAAAAGGCTCGGGATGGTCAGAATAAAACATGGCATCAATGCATGAAGTCCTTGACTGTTCTTTTGAGCCATGCAGGGCGTTATAGACTAGCTGGTTGGGGTCCGCGGGACAAGAGAAACCAGTGGTTGGAGACTAGGTGGTAAGGCTCGGAACTCACCTCAGTGGCGCAGATTTATACACACATTGTCCTCATCTTAACGGCTATACTTAGTCTCATCATCGGATTCTTCCTACCTCTTTTTTTTACTACATCCTACTTCTTTTAACTGATTTTTCTTTCCTTCATCCTCCATTTTATTGCCTTGTTACTTGATGTGTTGATAAGATGTGGCAACTGGGACCGTTACGCAATAATGCCTAGTCCTATGCTGATCTTCACAATGATGCTAGAAGTGGGGATAATCATATCCATGAAACATTTGTGTATGCAAAATGTGGACATTACGTAAGCATTGATTACAAATATATTTATAATAAATCGAAGTAGGAGAGACTAAAAAGTAAAAACAACGTAAAACCACGCACACAAGTCCATCGGTTCAAGTTGCCGCACTTCACAATAGTTTACAAAGAAGTGGATAGAAAATAAGTAACATCAAAGTAGACAAAGTTATGTGAGATAATAAGCAATCTAAAGATAACGGTTAATACAAGCATTGAAGCTTCAGATGTCAAGGAGTGAATATATTTGTGCCATTGTGACCAATTTCCAGCCAAGCCGTCCACATTTCCCCGCACGCCTCAGAACAACGGTGAGACAAGGTCAGTTGTAAATAAATAGCCAAAAACGAACCCTGATAAGCTTTAAGAACAATCTGAATAGATCATGTAATCCCAATTAAGACAGCATTGACTTCAGGACAGCTTCCGAAAATTCTCTGGCATTCTTCCATATATATATATATATATATATATATATATATATATATATATATATATATATATATATATATATATATATATATATATATATATATATATATATGACAACCCGGTACGCGCTTTTATAGTTGGTTGAGCTGAATATTCATCTGCTGTGGGTGAGAAATGCGTTGCATCTCCTTAATTACCGTCTACCTAGTAGAATTATTTTAGCTGAAGTAGGTCTAGGCTAGAAAAAGGTTCGGTGTGACCAGACTAAAATACAGCACCAGTCTACGTACTCTTCGACTGTTGGTCTGAGTCGTGTAAAAACAGAAAGCAGTAGTTCAAGACTATGGATGACATGGCTTAGAACTGATCTCAACGGCGCGAATGTATCCATGCATTATCCTCATTTCAATAGGCATAGTGAATTGTATTTATTTTTATTCTTTTTTTCCTGACATAACTTTCTACTCCTTTTGAGTGATCCTTCATTCTTAATCTTCCATCTCAATGCTTCTTTGTTTGCACTGATATGAAGTGTGGCAACTTGGACCGTTTTACAGTAATGGTTGGTCCTAGGTTGATATTGATGAAATGTGAGCGCCCACTGTACTACTTGATTACCTCGGTCAAAATAGGCGGAGAATGGTTTGAACTGTGAAACCATTTCCTGAGATGATAAAACCACTACTTACTTCAGGTAATACGTGATGTCATTGGTAAACTGAAATCGCTGTGGTCCCTCATCAACTGCAATATTGCTGAACAATGGACTGAATCTCCGAAACCTCTAAAAAAAACAATGTGGACCTCTTCTACAAGCATACATAAAAAAGCTGACACTTTCAGCATAACCTGAAGCTCCTGCGGGAACACCAGACATATCTAAACCACTCCACGGTAAAATAATTGCGATAGTAAATTATATATATATGTATATGCACAAGGCAGAATCTGGTTAACACGCTTACCTGCCGCTTTCAGTGATTTTCCTCCAGCACCCTGACCTGGCACAGTTATTATCTTCACAGTCTTGAAAATGAGAAAACAAACAGATGACTCAGATTGCAAGCTCCTGATACTGTAGCATTTCCAGAAAAATTACAAAACTGCCCTAACTAGAATTTGGAAATGATAAGTGAACAGCTTCCTCGATGCTCCACATTATTAGCAAGAGACTGTTGGTGATATGGTTTAAAACTCGTCGCAAGGGCAGAGATGTATGTAGTCTAGCATCTTACTAGTGACTCACTGATCTAACCCTTCTTGTGATGCATCTTTCTAAGTTTTGATATCATTCTATTACCATTCACAACCTCATTACTACTGTAGTGGCATGAATTGACGCATCTGTAGTGTTTAAGTGATTCGTTTGCTTGTTTGTCTTCAAACACGACACTATCTAAACCTGTACAAGCGCTGGAATAGTTAAATGAAGTGGGAAACCTGAGCTAGAACCATATACATAAGTAATCCAGTTATCCGAAGTAAAGTACTTGATTACCTTAATTCCAGGACGTTGAAGAGATGCATTGGTGCGATTGGTCCAGGTCCTGCACCGCTCCGCTGCAGCATGATGACTCGTGGACCTCGTGACCAGATGACGCATTCTGGAAACTGAGGGTTCCACCTGTTCCTAAGGTGATTGTCCCAGTACCAGAAACCACAGAATGCGCAGCAGATCCTGGTGAATTCACACTCCCAGTTGTCACCGGTTGATCAGTCGAGCCAACAGTTATTTCTTGTTCCGCAGCCGGTATGTCAAACAGATCTGTAGACAGTACTTCGTATGGATCCATCTATAATGATGTAATTTTCAGAATAACTCGATAAAACAGATTATAGGCATGTTGAATGAATGAGAATGTTACTGCTTGACTAGTAACTGAGCTATAATGGTAAGACAATATGGAAACTAGCTGTCTGTGATATGAAGACCGTTCAGTAACCAGCGTCAAAGGATAAAACACCAGCTTGTAAGTGACACTTACTTCTAAGAGACATCAACTGGTAATGTCAGTTGAGTGTAAAATAAAAAACCACATTACTAAGTTGTTATTCCAGTCAAACACTAACATCCCACTGACTGCGAAATCACAATTGTTCAGTAACGCACATTTCATGGGTTCAGTGGATAGGGAGAAGCCGAATTAGCAAACTGCGCAACTCAGATAGTGAATTTAACAACCACACAATAGACTCACAGTTCAATATCTGTGTTGGTTTCGAGGTTTTCAGATTAATTCTAACCTAATTCCATGATTTTATGAAAGCTGAGACGGACTCAAGACTCCACATTTCTCCTTATTTGTACACTGGGAGAGAAGTTGAAAAAGGATCTGATCACGGTGTGTTTGCAGGACAGACTTGTTACAATAACAAAAAACGCTGTAAATCGAATCCATCCCACCAATCATGGAGGCACACAGATTTTAAGTGAGCATAATTCTTAGTCACTTTAAACTCTGTGTACTTATACCGCTTAGATCACACGAGAATTTATAGTGGGAAAGATTAACAGTAACTTTAAGCCGATTTGCTATGTTCTTTAGCAGTCAATCAATAAAGACCCACGACTACCAATCATAGCACGGCGGGCGAACAATTTCCATTGACAAAATCACTACAAATATGAAAACAATGTGTGCAGGATAGATTACACAGGCACGTTACATACTAACTTTCCAGATTCCAATAACAATTCTTCCTAGAAAACGAATTTATGAATCATAGTCAACATCGCTATTCGATAATATCGATCAACTGATCACAATCCACCCCGAAGCTATCAATACCAAGAACTTTGAAACAATCAGTCACTTTAATAAATTTTGATAACGCTATTAGAAGACGAAGATTATCTGAGAAATGTGATGTATTGCACATTTTTCAGATAATCTTCGTCTACTAATAGGGTTATCGAAATACCAAGAACAGCTGGGATTAACAATGGTCTAAATGGAATGCAAGCCATCCATCACATCTTCCCCCCCCCTTTGCAATATAAAATAAATGGCAGCTTCCACAAAATCGTGATTTGAAAAGAGCTTTAAGAAAACAACCATGAGGTAAGTTAGTGAGAACAACATGGAGATCACAATAGGAGTTAGACATGTTAGGTACATTCATTATCACAATCATTTGAACAAGTAAAAAATATTACAGTCAGCTACATTATTCACTCACAGGTGTGTATAACTATACAGCAGCATTTATGGTGACAAAAATCACAGTAGTGATTTTAGAAACTGCACACCTGTTAACTATGGGAATGGAGCCGAGAACGGTACATATAACGACCGATTCTCAAAATACACAAATAAAATCTGTCCTTCAACTGCATAATGCATACGAAAGGATACAAATGTCCTGTACACGAATAACAACTACAAAGATAAATACTCCGCGGAAAAAATGGCGGGGAAATTGGATTTGCGCTCACTTTTGTCAGCGGAACTTTCAAAAAAGGTTGCCCTTCGGACTTAACCGCGAAAATAATGTCAGAACAAGTATTTAAACAAAAGTAATGAAAACTCATTGTCAAAATGAATTCAGTCCATCTACCTCCTGCTACAATGAACACGTAAATAAATATCTTGTATCGGAAATAGAGCTGTGATTTCACCACATAATGAGGCTGTCACTGCTGCAAACGATGAGCTTCGAGAAACTGAAGCATGCTGCTTGATCTTTAGATAACCAGGATACTAGTCCATTGTAACTCCGTATACTACTGCCCTGGATGTTTTAGGAGCACTTGTATCCCCTTGAATGCATTCAGTGCTACATCTAATACAGTTTGAAATTGTAGTGTTTCCGTCGTTTATAAGTCTATCGGGAAAATGAAGGATGCTGATGCAAACAAGAAATGAAACACCACTAATAAAGCGTAAATTGAGATTGCTGATTGCCAAAGTGAGATAATTCTCTTTCTCTCGACACAAAGATCCACCGGAACGCTTCTGCGAATTCAAGTAAAGCCAGTCTCACACCTACCCTTAAAACACTTCTTAGGAGGCCGATATCTCTTCTGAAGCTTAATTAGTGTACCTAGATGCAGGTCACAGAAAATAGTCTCGTTCCTGGAAGGTAAAGCAGCCCGAAACACTTCGTGATCAAAAGCTTCGGGAAATCTGTTTGGTGACCACGACATACTTTATTCTATCGACGAGGCCACAACTTGGTTTTCATGTGATGGCCTTTGAACACACCCAAGTCTGTTGGGATAAACAGTGTGGTTGACAGTCTTCTGTCAATGGAATATTGAACAAGGTTAATGTAATCAGACCAAGTCTCTGCGCCTTTGCGACGGCTAACTTTCGAACAGATTTCTTGTAATTAACCGACTGGTTGGCATGACTTAGGTTTTGGTGGACATTTTTGGGGGTGACCGTCCACACAATTCATTATAAATAGTCTCAAAGATCTATACATTCCGTGGGAAGGAGGTAGTTTTTTCGTTTTTCTCCTTTAATGAGCGTGGTTTCGAAAACGAATGGATTGAACCCAGAACCGATAAGGGTTGGTTGTGTGACAACAATCACCATTCTGAAGTACCTAAGTGGAAACCTTTAACCCTATGCTACTTCCAGTTGTAGCGTCTTGGTTAGAAACTGGATAACGGCTACTCACCTTAAGAATTACACCGTTTGTGACAATCTTCCGATCTTTCCCAAAGCAAATCTGAGAAATGAAAACATTCATCGGCCCCCGTATTTTCCTAAGCAAAAATTTCATTTGTTAGTAAAAG